TTTTGTATGATTTTAATTCTTGGAATTGGAGAAAGGTTCTGGAGATGAGACCTTACAAGTTGGGCTGAATCTGTTGGCTCACCTATTTTATGAGCAGAGCTAACGATCTCTTTTAAGGGCATTTTTTATCTATGAAAACACTCACTGATGAATCTTTAATGTCTTTAAGATTTAAAAATTTGGATTCTGTTATTCCACCACTGCTTGTAGATGGCTGCGGATCATCAAACGGGTATATTTGTCCTATGGTAGCTTCCATTATCCTATTGTCTGAGGATTTTTCATGCTTGTTAATGGTTTTGTGTTTCATCATTACTTCCATCCAACGTGCTTCTATCGTCCTCTTCGAAACTTATATCCATTGCAGCATACTCTTCTTCTCTGATCTTTCGACGATCAGGTGGCCACAAACCACAAGCTTCAAATCCGTGCAGTACTGTAGCCATAGAAGCTGCTCTGGGATATGCTATGCAATATCTGTTTTTTACGCGGCCCGGATGTGTGCGCATCCATGCCTCTGATGCTTTATTATAATGGTGCTTTGAAGATTTAAAAAACGATTTGTCCAAAGGTCGGTGCGTGGTGTGTGCCGGGAGGCACAACATTATAATTCTCTTGCAAGTCTTATGGCTTGAATGTTTTTCGTGTGAGTGGAGTGACCGTCTAGGATCAAGAGCATTTGTTTTTTCTTACTTTTTTCTAGCCTAGTATATCCTATTAAATGTTTTAGCCATTCTAAAAACAGTTCAGAGCTTGTCCAACCACTATCAGAGCAAGTGTAAAGAGTATTTGGTGGGCCTCCCCTTTTAAGTATACTAAGTGACATATAAATCCGAACACCCAGTTTAAATGGTTTTATTTTAATAAAAGTTGGTGAATGTATTTATCTTACTGTAAATAACAAGTGGCGGATTTTGGTTCTGGACATCCTTTACGATCGGTTACGATGCCTAGAGTACGGAGACCTGTACGATTTCGTCAACTTACTGAGTTTGATAGGGGCCGTATAGTGGGACTTCGTGAAGCTGGACTTTCTTTTCGGGCAATTGCAGTTAGAGTGCAAAGAAGTGTAGACACTGTGGTTAGGTGTTGTCAGGCATGGCTTCGAGAAGGCCGTACGCAAAGAGCAAGGGGCACTGGACGCCGCCGTAGAACAACAGACCGTGAAGATCACCGCCTAAGATTATTGGCCTTAAGGGACCGTTTCTCCACTACCAGGTCCATTGCAAATGAATGGTTTGCAGAACACGGAAGACCTATTGGCATGCGAAGTTTTGGCTTGTTTTCATACCGGCCACACTGGGTCCTCCCTTTAACTCGAGAACACCGACGTAATCGCCTTGAGTGGTGCAGACAACGGTCACTCTGGGATCAGGAATGGAACAGTATTGTCTTTAGTGACGTGTCTCGATTTTGTTTAGGCATGCACGATGGTCTTGCCAGGGTTAGAAGGCGACGTGGTGAAAGGAGGAATCCACAGTTTTTGTTGAAAGACATGTTCATCACACTGTTGGAGTTATGGTTTGGGGAGCTATAGCTTATGGTTCCAGGTCACCTTTAATCTTCATCAGAGGTAACATGAACGCGCAGCGTTATATCCACGAAGTTCTAGAACCCTATCTTTTACCCTATCTTGACACCCTGGCAGATCCAACTTTCCAACAAGATAATGCCCGACCACATGTTGCAAGAGTCACAATAGACTTCTTTCAACATAATGATGTCACATTGTTACCATGGCCACCAAGATCTCCCGACTTATCCCCAATTGAGCACGTGTGGGATATGATGGGTAGGAGATTGCTCAATTTGCAACGTCCTCCTCAGACTCTAGAAGCACTTCGAGAGGAGTTGGTGGTTGCCTGGAATGAGATACCACAGGAGGACGTTGACCACCTGATCAGAAGCATGCCTAGGCGCGTTGGAGAATGCGTAGCACATCAGGGTGCGTCCACACATTATTAAAGGTCAAAGGGCTTTAAAGGAGTGCAATCATTTTGAAATTTTTATCATTTACTTATTATGCTTCATTAAGTACTTATACAAAATTTTATTAAAATAAAACCATTTAAACTGGGTGTTCGGATTTATATGTCACTTAGTATACATCAGACACACGTTTTCTCTTATAAATTAACATTGGAGGTATAAATTCTCCTGCGGCGTTCATACAACAAACACAAGTAGTATTTGAACCTCTTTCTCCACTGGTTACAGCGCCTACTTGTTGCTTTTCCTCTTTGACCAAATTTTTTGATGGTTTGCGGACAGTGCTCAACCCAGTCTCGTCAACGTTTAGGATTCGATGGGGTATTTTTTCATACTTGTCAAAAAAATCCGTAACTCTTTGTTTACTAAATCCGCCGCAACGCGCCATTGACGTCGGCTCAGGTCTTCTTAAGGAGACTTCTGGATGGTCTTTCATAAAATTATAATACCATTTCCAACCCGCCAAATGTTTTTTCCTTATTAAATGGATGATGAAGATAATATTTCTCGGCAAGTGGGTAGGCTAAGCGACGCATATCTTTAATTGTTAGCCCAAACAAACATGACTCCAGTTCCAGAATATGTTGCACCAATTCTTCTTCCATGGCAGCCGTTAGGACTTTCGGTCTTCCAATAGTTTTGTGTTTATTTAGATTTTTTAAATGACGCCTGAATGTAGGTTTAGAAATACTATATGTACGACAAATTTCATTAAAGCCCATGTTTCTGCTTTGATGTTTGTCCAAAGCTTCATTCATGTTAGCCTGTGACCAAGCATTATATATCCTTTTCGGCATTGCTATCTGAAAAAAATGCCATTCAACTCCCTTACAATAATCACTGAATAACAACAAAACCAAATTTAATAATTTTCCAATAAAATAAAATAAAATTCCAATAATATAAAAATATTCCTAAATCGTACCAGTACGAAATAGGAGTACATGTAGAGGTCGTTTTAGGCATATGACCAGATTTAATATTTTTTAATATTTGAAAACCTAACCTATCATAACATAATTTATAAAAATTTCTTCCTAAATGATGTTACTTTTTAGAGGTATAACTATTATAACACTTACCCAAGTCTTGGATAAAATATTCCTTTACAAATAAAGCCACAATATAACAGTAATTCGGGTATGAAATCATTTTGTTAAAATTTACCGGCTAAGCAAACTTACACCGTGCAGATCATGAGAATGGCCGATACGTGAGTTCTCGATTGCCACCAACAGCAGCGTTGCTAGACATAATAGCCGCGAAATTTGAATGAGGTACAATTTAAGAGCAAGTACGATTTAAGCATAGTTACCCTACAATGATATAGATAAGTCAATAAAAAACTAAAGGAACAAATTTGAAATGAAGTATTACAAGGCAATTGTACTAAACATTATGGAGTACTATAAAATAAAATTGTAATCCTTGGGATGCATATACAGGGTTTTAGTTAAGTATACGTACGACGATTCTTTGAGTAATTTTAGGACAAAAGGTTCATGTAAACTTAGGTCCGCAAATTCTTTGTTCTCAGTGTTAGGATTGGTTTTGCGTAAATATCTTAAATATCCTTTACCTAATTTTGTTGTGATTTGGCGGTGTATTGATTCCAAGGAGCCCTAACAGTGGCGTCTCCAGCGGGATCTGAACGAATATTTGTGTTAAAAAAATTTGCGACACTGATTTTTGTTCAATTTTTATTACTCTCTTTGATTTAAGCTAAATACAACTTTTGGTCTCTTTTGTTCTTTGCGTATTTTGAGAAAAAGAAGTCCACTTAATTGCATATCACTATCACACAATGAATATGAGGAAAGGTTTCTTTTCGATTTTTTTTTATAATATTCTATTACTAGTTATGTTAATGGTTTTAGTATTTGTTACATAGCTTGTATTAAATAGTATAAAAAATAATTTCCAAAATAAATTTTTCTCTATATTCGTTGTGTGGACCAGATGTAATTAGGTGGACTATTTTTTCTCGAAAACTCAGCAATAAAGGAAAAAAATTCAAGAGAAAAAAGTTGTAGGGTGGCCCAATAAGTTCAGAGGACTTTAAAGAATTATAGAAAAAAAAACTACAAAGCATAGAGAAGATAATTTATATTTTCACATGGGAATGTTATTTTTTTTTAATAACATCAATGAGGTATGAGCCATCGAGACGCACGCACTCCTCGAATCTCGTCTTCAAATTCGTGAAAACTCGCTGGCACATCGCTCGTGGTACGAGGGTTGTCTTTTAAGTATTGCATATGGAAATAAAATAACACCGTAGGTAGTTTTAAATGACTTTATTGTTTTTCGAAGTATTCTGCACGAAGATTAATACACATCTGCATGCGCTCGAACCAATTTTCGAAGCATTTATTCCACTCGTTTGCTGGCAGATCCAAAACGGCATTTTTGAATGCGTCAACTGCTTCTTCTGGTGACTGGAACCTTTGACCACGCAGTCCTTTTTTAATTTTCGGGAAATCGTTAGTCGCAGTAACCGTTCTTTGCTCATTAAGAGGCATTGTTGCAACGGTCAAGCATTTTTTGACACCAATTAACCCTGCCTGCTTTCTGCTCTTCAGTCAACAGGTGGAGTATCCAACGAGAAACTAATTTTCTTACTCCTAATTCTTCATGTAAAATTTTTTGAATTGAGGTCCTTGATATCTTCATGGACGCCTCAATCTCGCGATATGTCACATCTTCAATGATGATTTTGCGCACAGCATCGACGTTCTTCTGGGTGACTGCCGTCTTTGGTGCACCCACATTGGGATCGTCGTTAAGACTCACCCGTCCATGTTTGAATTCGCCATACCAACGGGAAATTGTCGACTGTTGTGGCGCTTCGTTGCCGAAAACAGACAGTAACTCAGCAAGGCATTCTTGTTGCGATAATTGTAAAGTTGTAATAAATTATGGCGCGAAAAAGTTCTCGGTTGAGATCCATTTTTCTAATGACTCGGAGACACTTAGGAATTCACTGTAATGAGAACACTGCACGTATTGTTGTGAAACTTTGAATTTAAGTTTACTAAAGAGTGAGGTTAAGATTCAGTACTGACTTTCGATCCGCGCGGCCTACTATGTTTCTATATGCAAAACTTAAAAGACATCCCTCGTATAGTGGAAATCTCCTCGGAAATATTGAGATTGAACTGGACAATCGTCGACGGTTTATTGCCGTAAACGCGGCTCTTGAGTTATCTCCAGAGAAAAAATCTAGTGGTGTGAGATCTGGGCTCCGGGGAGGCCACGGAATGCCCCGTCGTCGCGATATCAACCTTCCCCTAAACATTTCGTTTACAACTGCTACTGCTGGCGGTTTGGGATGTCGCGCCATCTTATTAAAACCAGATCCTGCAATGGTAGGCTTCAAAATTACGCAGTTGTAGTAGACCTAAAACTTGTAAAAGTATCCTCAAAACGACAGCACTCCTAGTCGGTGTTGCATTTTGTAAACATTTAAGCGCAGTATTCGCCATATTACAATCCTATTCTACAGAATATTCAGATAAGAGATAGACCGGATATAAACAAGACCACGTGATCATCGAACACTGTAACATTCGGCAGGGACGTATTAAGAGTCACGCAGTACATATTTTAGATAGTAGATGCTGCTTTGCGTAACTTTGTAGTAAATTAGCACAATTCGATGTGTATACGATTGGTGATGGATATAGGATCATGTGGGGGTGGGGTAAGAAATATATAATGATGTAAATATACATAAGTGTTTCAAAATTTTCGCTTCGATTTCCAGCTTCGGATGCCGCCTGATGTTTGGTGAAATACAGTCGAATATAATCTCAAAATGGCGATTAAATTAGCCTAAATTAAAAATAATCGTATATCTCTTAAAATTGCTTTTAGAATATTGATTAGTATATTTTTTGATTTCTAGGTAAATATGTAACCAGATTAAAACGTTCAAAACGTAAAAAAATGTGCATGGTTGAACATTGTCAGAAAGTAGATTCTTGAATAGGTTTTGCCAAAATGGGTTCAAAAATGTCAATAATTAATTAAAAAATACAGTAGCTTTATAATTACTTATAACTTACCGAATTTGATGAACGACATCTTTTATTGGAAAGATGAGCTTGATGAGCTTTCATCATCGCTACTGCCTGAAGCACCAACGTCAATAATGAATGGCTCGACTTGTTCCTCCAAAATATTGTCCAGTTCCTACATTCTCTTTTCAACTTTGTCTTTCACGTGCTTAATACAGTTTTCCCATTTTTGCGCTGTTATTAATTCTAGTGCTTCTTTGAAAAGTCCTTTGAGGTCACAAAATTTAAAAGTTGTATTGTGCTTAGCTATATAATTTTTAACCTCTGCCCATATGAGCTCAATGGGATTGAGCTCGCAATGGTATGGAGGTAAACGGAGCACAGTTTTATTTTGACTTGCTGCCATTTCGTCAATGGCGTATTTTTGATATTCCGCCTTGTGATCCTTGACAATTCTTAATAATTGTACTTTCAGCATTGCTTCTTCAAGTTGATATTTTTCGAGCGGAGCCAATTTTGAACATCAACTTTCCTTGAAGCCGTTGTTGGGACCTTCTCCATTCTTCGAGAATGATAAGGCGCATTATCCAACACAATTACTGCGTTTTCCTCTATGTTCGGTAAAATTTTTGAAAACCACTGTTCAAAAACACTGTCAACAACAAATCCATCCTCACTGCCAATATGGCAGATAATGAGCCTTTTCCCTTTACCTGGAAATCGAAGTACTAACTGGTGTAGATTTATTTCAATAAGCGAACCTTTTTCAAATGTTTTCATCACATTCAGCGAAAAAACATTGAGACATGAGTATCAGATTGCTATAATTGGGATTATTTAGTCATATTGAAAGAAAGAATATTGAACGTCGTATGATTACTCAGCGCTTCACAATTTAATTTAAAGTTATAAACCTTTAAAAAATGAATGATCAGGAACCTGAAATACGCGCAAATATTAATATTAACAAATTATAACTTTATAAAGCTTAAAGTATGAATTAAAATGATTAGAAATATTAGGAACGGTACACAATATAAAACTTAGTAACTTTTTTAAGTTTATAATATTCGACATATTTTAAGATTATATTAAAAAATTATTGAAATATCGAAAACACATAAAAACATGGCTTAAAAAAGTTCTAACAAATGAAAATGACAATAAAACATCCACGCATTTTATCGAAAGTTATAAAAGTTTTGTTACTTGTAATATGTTTTATCTGCCCCCTGGAATTAATGTTTAGAACCTTGTTCCCAAGGTTTGAAAAACATCCGATTGTTGTCTATTACTCGTATTTACCTGCTGGATTTTTTAATCCGGTGGACAGTCCATCTAGAAAGGCCCTCCTGGATGAAGTTACAGAATCATCAACCCATACTTTACTTGTAGTGTGTCCTGCGTTTACCCACGTTTCATCAAGGTAATAAATCTTCCTGTTTTGATTTCTATATTTCCCAATTTTTGTTAAATAATCCCTCCTCCATAGCACAATTTCTTCTCTATCCAGTAGTAAACTATTACGACCCCGTTTTTTCCATTTGAAATTTAAATGCTTCAGTAACGCATGGAAAGTTGATCGTTTGAAATTTGGCAACGTTGTATCTCCATTTACCTCCTGCAGTACTTTATCTATAGTAGGTATTTCATTCCTAAAGAAGAATTCATGCACTTTCCTCCTAATCGCATGCTTATCAGCTTCATCCAATGATTTAACAATACTTTTGCGATGTTTACTGGTCATTGGCTCAGAAAAGGTGTGATTTTTTTGTATTGTCTTAACACATTGAACACTGATGCGCGACACACCCCAACTTTGTGAGAAACCTTCACAACAATTTCTTTGATGGTTGATGCCTCGTTCTCCTCGTGCTCGATCTTATATATATTCAAAATGACCTCTTTCATTTCTGCACTCAGGTGTCTTTTTTTAGAGCGTTTCCTAGGTGGACTACAGGAGTTTACAACTTCATCGGCAGTATCTGTACTACTGGGCATTTTGCGCAAGCAGTTGATAACAATAACAATCAATAACAAGGTATAACAATAACAACGACAAACTCAACAACTTAATAAGATAACAAACGAAAACGTTCAAAGAAATATCAAATTGCAATGATGCACACGGCATACGTAACACGTCTGAACCTGAATGTGACTCTGCCTTGATACGACTGCTCTGCCGCTCGGCATAGGCATTTAATTGCGAATTGACCAATGAGGACTCCTGTTTTACGTCGAGACGGCGGCGTTAGCGTGAAAATCACCCGAACCTTTTGTTTACATCCGGTCTATCTCTTATCTGAATATACTGTACATATCGTAACTTTTTAAATTTATTCCTTACAGCCTGGTGTGTATGACAACCTAGATCAAGAGCTGGTTCCAAACGCACTATCCAAGCATTATGTGGAAACATGCGCGCAGTTCGGTGACCTCATTGAAGTCAGATCAGGGTGGAGGTATGCCATGAATTTTTATTTAGATAATTGGTTCTCGAACGTTTCGTACTCCACTCCCTTCTTCAATTAAATTGTTCTCAAGGATAAGACGTGGATTCAGTATGTATGGATTAATTGCTTAATTTTCTATAAACGTGAAATTAATTGTTGTCTTGAAGTGCCGGTTCATGCTGAGACCGAGTCGCAATACTAGTGGCATGGCCTGTCAGATACTGAAACTTATATTGATAAAAAGTGTATCGAGCATTGTTGAGGAAGAATAATATATACCGAAGCAGTGGCGTAGGGAGAAGTCTAAATACCAGGACACCGCGGCAGCAATTAGAAGCTTAAAGAAAATTGTTAAATTGGAAAAGCGTCCTCAGGTAGATTGTTCCATAATCTCGATAGCCTAGGTACAAAGGAGCGATCGTATCGGCCAGTTCTGGATTTACGAATGTCGACACGGTTAGGACGGAAGGCAAAAGTCAGGCGGTCTACTCAGAGCTCTGAGGAGCAAGCTCCGTTGACATAGAGGTAGAAGAGATCTATAGTGTATTTACACCCAAGATAGAATGGATGCGTGATTGCCAAAAGCAAGGACGGCGAACAGGGCCGCATTCAGGGCTACCTCCGAATGATGGACTACTACCAACGCGTTGTAAGACAAAGATGACAATATTTAACGAAATTATCTAATATAGTGAAGTAGTTGTAGTTAAGGGTGTCGCAAAATCAAATTTTTATTCTTGAAGGGGTGCTAAGTTTTTCTACAGATTTTTCAAACTAGACAACATGGAGAAATACATACCAGAGGTAACCAGCTGCTCACTGACACTTTTGTAAATGGAATAAATATAAGGCAGTTCAATCAATTGAAAATAGATTTTGAAGGTGCACTTCGGACTTGCATTGTCTGTAGTTTATCTGTAAGTTCATATAACTAGAATTCCCATAATATGTATTCTGTGACAAAACAAAATGGCGAAACTTACTCAGACTCACTTGAAGAGCTATCGTCAATTATGTTGTCCAGCTCCCACATTGCTACCTCCACTTTCTCCTGAACATGCTGCACACATTTTTGCCATCTTTCTGGTGTGACCCTCTGTATAGCAATTCTGAACAGCTCTTGCATGTCAGAAAATTTAAATGTTGTATTGTGTGCAGCAACACAATTCTTAACATCTGCCCATATGAGCTCAATGGGGTTGAGCTCACAGTGGTAAGGCGGCAAACGGAGTACTGTTTTGTGGTGTGCTTTGGCCATTTTATCTATGACATATTTATCATGTCTTGGTCTGTGTTGTTTCAGAATATCTAATAGTTGTAATTTCAGTAAGGAATGGTCGAAAGTTATATTTTTGGAACGGAGCCAGCTCTGAATGTCTGATTTCCTAGAAGCTGAATTTGGGATTTTTTCTATTTTGCGAGAATGATAGGGAGCATTATCCAAAACAACCACAGAATTGTCTTCGAGACGTGGTAAAATGCCTGAAAACCACTTCCCGAATGCTTCCCCATTCATCTCTTCATGGTAGTCAGGGTTTTTTTTGACTCGAAAGACCATAAGCCGTCATCCACGAAGCCAACTACACCCCCAATGTGGCAAATAATGAGCCTTTTTCCTTTGCCTAGATAGATAAAATAGAGAGATATTGTGCGCAAAAATTGATACCGTGAACTACTTCGATCTATTTACCTGCTGGATTTTTCAATCCGATCGATAGTCCATCTAGAAATGCCCTTCTGGATGAAGTCACAGTTTTCTCAACCCATACCTTCGGAGTAGTATGCCCAGCGTTAATCCAGGTTTCGTCCAGGTAATAGATCTTCCTGTGCTGATCCCTGAATGATTTAATTTTGGTCAGGTACTCTCTCCTCCACAGAACAATTTCCTCTCTATCCATAAGTAAGCTGTTACGACCTCGTTTCTTCCATTCGAAATTAAGATGCTTCAAAAGTTTATGAATATTCGAACGTTTGAAATTTGGTAACATAGCATCCTCGTTAACCTCCCGTAGTACTTTGTCAACTGTCGGTATTTTGTTTCTGAATAAGAACTCCTGCGAATCGCATGCTTGTCAGCGTCATCCAACGATCTTATGATACTTTTGCGATGTTTACCCGTCATTGGCTTGGAAAAGGCATGATTTTTCTTATATCTTCCTTCCGCTCTATCTTGAATCTGTTCAATATGACGCCTTTCATGTCTACGCTAAGATGTCTTTTTTTTGATCGGTTTCTAGGAGGGCTAAGGGAGTAGCCTACCGCCTCGTCAGCAGTATCTGTACTGGACATGTTCAGGATTGGTTCAAAACAAATAATAACGAGGAATAACAATAACAAACAGAAACTTAACAAATTACTCAAATACACTTAACAACAACAACAGCAACAACCAAGCAAGGTGAATACGGAAACACGAGCACGCAGTGATACACGCGACGGTCGGTGGCCTGAATGCAATTCTGCCTGCCCTGCCCCTGGCCCGCGCATTATTCCTCCAGGCGACTGCTTGAAATTTAATGGCAAATTGACCAATAAGAGGCGTTGTCCCCACCTGTTACCGAGATATCACGCGCTAACTGTTATTATTTACATCTCATCTTGAATTTGGATTCAGTTTAGATTGCCGATGGCTCGTCGGTGCGAAAGGGTCCCGAGACTGTCCGTCAGAGAAGAGTCATTGATCAGTCGGACACCCTTCCCCAGAATAGCACGGAACATGGATAATGTAGGACAGCACCCAAAACCTGTGAGCAGTACTTCATGCCAGGTCTTATCTGGGCTTTGTACAGAGTTAGCAGATTATTTGGATAAAAATATTACTTAGCCTTGAAGAGAGCCTAGCTTTTTACCAGCAGCTGCAGCTATTCCGACAAGCCGAAATGAACGATTCTTTGGTAGAACTTGGCTATAGATTGAAATTGGATGGGTGCTAGGACGTTTTTTGCTTCCCCAAGCAGTTATACCTCCAGGTCCCTCGCCAGAGACAAAGTCTTCATTTCCAGAGATCGGCTTCTCACTTTGAATTCCCGCATGTAGAGTGCTGTCATCAGAAAAGCTGTGGATCGGATTGATTGTATATGAAAGGAGTTCGTTGATAGGTAAAAGAAACAATGTCGGAGCCAAGACCAATCACTGGAGAACACCCGCGTTGCAATTACGACAGATATCTTGCGGTCAAAGATGAAGACATTAATCCGCAAAGCTTCTCTGGGAGGTCATAGGATGGAAGTTAGAATAGAAGAGGAACAATGTTGCATTTTCCAGTGACAAAGACATATTTTCTGGGTGCGTGCTATGCCACTATACCCCATTCGTAGTCCGTTTACGCCCAAACAAAACACAACATGCCCAAAAGCGAGACTGTACAGGTCCGTATTTTCCTCAATGGTCTTGGAATAATCTAATAAAATAAACGATTATTATTTTCATAGAAAGAAGTGCACATACTTTTCACAATTCTTTATTCGCTGGAAGTACCTGAATCATCATCCGAATGGTCAATATTAATTATTACAGGTTCAATTTGAATATCGATCATATTGTCCAGATCCCACATCTTTGTTTCGATTGACTCTTGAACTTGACGGATGCATTCTTTCCAATGGTTTGCCGTCACTCTGTTGACAGCATCTCAAAACAAATTTTTCGTTTGAGAAAATTTGAATGTTCTATTGTTTGAAGCCACACAGCTTTTCATATTTGTCCAAATCATTTTAATTCGCAGTGATAAGGGGCTAGCCTTAAAACGATCTCATTTTGGGTTTTAGCCATTTCGTCAATAACATCAAGATAATATACAGGGGTCCGCAAAGTTGGGGTTTTCCTTTTCAGAAACAACTACCCTTGAAATAATAAAGGTAATGTGTAGTGAAACGAGGGCGACCAAGTAAAGTAAAAAAAAAATAAAGGAAAAAGTACTCACTCTCCAGTTGACGAGAAGGGCTAAGTACGTCTCTGCCCGAAATCATACCGCTCCAACAGAAAATGAAATCAGCTGATGCGCTACCGAGCAGACGCAGAAATCACATTGATTGTCTTACACTTAATGGCACATTTTCTAACAAGGAAGGCAAAATGTTGCGTAAAAAGTCTAGGTATTGCATCCCGTCCAATCGATTTGGGAGAATAAATGGTCCAAACATTCACCGAAAATGTTTGTTGAATATGTGCCCGACGGACAGCGTGCGGATTTTCTACTGACCAAACATGAGTGTTGCGAAAGTTATTCACCCCATTACGCGTGAACGTAGATTCGTCTGTCACCAATATGCACTTCAAAAAGTCCGGATTATTGTCATGTTGATGCAACAACCACTCACAAAACCGCACTCTTGCTGGAAAATCGTCAGGTTGAAGGGCTTGTATACGTTGGACGTGAAACGGATACAGTCCCTCTTCACGCAGCGTTTGCCACACTTTAGTTTTTGATACTTGCACTTCTCTAGCCACGACTCTAGTGCTTGTTGTTTTTTGAAACGTTATCGATTATACGGGTTCGTTTACCTCTACACGCGTGACCGTAACCGTCGGTTGAAGGTTGCATACTGACCTGACACACTGACCCCGACCCAGTTCTGTCGTCACGTCGTGTAAAGGAAAACCCCAACTTTGCGGACACCCTGTATTTATAATTGTGCTGCCTGACTAAATGGATAAGTTCTGCTTTGACCATATTTTCATTGAAACTAATATCTTTTGATAGGAGCCGTTGTTGAATTTCTGCCTTTCTTGTGGACATTGTGGGATTTTTTTCTAGTTTTCTAGTGCGGTATGCAGCATTATCAAGTACAATGACGGCATTGTTGTCAAGCTTTGGGAGCGTTTCTTCAAACCAACATTCAAATGTACTTCCGTCAATTTCTTCATGGCAGTCGGTCCTTTTTTTTGACTCCAATGCCCATAGGGCAGTGGGCGCAAAGCCATCTGCACTGCCAATGCAACAGATAACAAATCGTTTTCCTTTTCCTGGAAATAATTATTTCATATAGTATTCAAGAAAACTAATAATAATACAAGCAGAGTATCTAACAGGTGCTGGTTCCAATTCTACCAGATATTGCTGATTTAGTTGTAGAGTCAGCCCATACTTTAGGTTCTGTATGTCCTGCATTTATCCAGGTTTCATCCAAGTAATAAATCTTCTTGCCCTGGTTGCGGTATTTCTCTATTGATTTTAAATAATTTCTTCTCCATAAAATAATCTCTTGGCTGTCCATCAAAATACTATTGATGCCCCGATTTCTATACCCAAAATGAAGTTCTTTGAGTAAACTATAGAATGATCCTTTTGAAAGCAGGTAAGTCTTCATCACTATTAACCTCCTGTAATACATTACCTATGCTGACTTTCAAAACATTGATGGAATTTGCGTCTGATGGTATTCCGATCAAAGTTGTCAACTGTATCCAACAGCTTCGCGTAATGCAGCCTCTTGTGTAATGGAAACAAGTTTTTGTTTTTGAATATTCTTTAGCAATGTTGAAAATTGTCTTAGGACGTAAGCCTGTTTTGTTCTCCATACGTCTTTCAATATCATGAATTTTCCTTTCCGCTCTTCTAAACGTTAACGACAATTTCGCTATGTATGTACTGAATATGAACAGCAACTGCCGGCGTCGTGCCGGCGATACCCCGAGCCTGAGTTCCATCCTGTCGAATCTTGCACTTGTTCATCGTTTTATTTCCGAATGACTAATAACTATTGCAACGCTTAGGCGGCTGCTGCTTTGCCGCGCTGCATCTTTGTGTTGCCGGAGCGTAAATGGACTACGAATAGGGTATAGTCTTGGGTCTCGGTCTTCGCTCTTGGTCTAGACTCGGCCTCGTGGCGAATCGGCAGCTTTAGATGCAATGAATTTTTCTTGAAAATAGCCATGTCCAAAGTGGTACCCTTGTGAATAAAATGAAACATTTTCTATGTATCTAGGACCCAGAGCTTACCCGTCTTCATCAGGATGATAGACAAGGATTCCAACTGGGGCATCAGCAACGGTCTCTACACTCTGATCACTACTCTTCTACAGATGAACATAAACGGCTACTCTCTGTAAGTATTGTTCTGTTTAATTCGTCGTATATTATTTATTTAAAACTGCAAATGAAAAAGAAAGACTATATAAAATCATTAAACATTTACCTAAAAAAGAAAATATAGATGTTTATAATCAGTATAAAAAGAAATTTACAGGAGTTTTGAGAAAAGCAAAACAGAATTACTCTTTAGAAAAATTGAATAATAATTCACACGACTCTAGGCACCTATAGGTCCACTGAAAGTGATATAATCAATAAGTCATCCCGTTCAGAAAACAATATTAATCAAATAAAAAATAAAAACAGTACAGAAAACAGACAATATTTAGCAAATATGTGACGAATTCATAGAATTTTGCACAAATATAGGATAAAACTCGGCAAATAATATCAAACAATGTTTGAACGATTTTATTTTTTTTTTTCGTTTTGGCCTCTTTTTCCGCCAAGAACAATTATTATTACATAATGATTGATGATTATCAATAGTAAGAGTTATATTGATATTTTTGGTGAAATTGTGCCTTTCTGACGTTTTATGATTTTTTTGCATAAACCCCACCTTCTGAAAGTTATTTTTATTAATACACATGATTATTTGATGCAGAACTATAATATTTTGTAGTTTCCTAAAGATGCTACTACACAAAGAAAAATGTTCCCGGACTTTGTCTGGAAAGGAAATTTGGCAGCATCCCTAATATTTTGCTTACTTTGTTTCAACCTATATACACATATATGTGAAAAATAAAGCTTCCGCCTTAAGTTGGGTACTTCGATGGAATTCAAGCAATGAGGACTCTTGATACTTTATTAGTCTCTAGCTTTCAATGGACTTTGCCATCTTCATCAGGAGCTGCAATAACATTGAGAAGAAATAGCAACTATTGTGCAAAATGGTTTAAATTACTTATATTCTCAATGTTATTGCAGCTCCTGATGAAGATGGCAAAGTTCATTGAAAGCTAGAGACTAATAAAGTATAAAGAGTCCTAATTGCTTGAATTTTGTCGAAGTGCCGAACTAAAGGCGCAAACTTTATTTTTCACCTATCTGGTCTAGACGACAATGACCACGTCTCAAGTTATACAGGGTGACTTTGAAGTTGAGTCATTAATTTTCAGATAATGATTGTATAAGGAAGATAAACCAAAATATGTGTGTAAAAATAAAAAAAAAAATAAAAAAAAAATTTTACCTTGTTTTATAAAGTATCCTCCCGACAAGTATTTCAGTGCGGACCTGTATTTGATCGTGAGGTCTTGGAGCACCGGCATACCGTCACCTGATTCACGAGCCCGTTGTACTCGATTGGGAAACCGATCCGCATAAACATGTGCCATTTTTTATTTCGTTTGAGTCACGCAACAGACACCACTATTCACTGACACTGACTGTATACAAATGATTAAAATAATTGTAAAAACATCGTTCCAAATTCTTTCGCTTTTTTGTTTCCGATGCGATGAACCGATACGGCGGATTATATCCGTTGTCGCCAAACACGAGCACATAATATTATTATTGAGACAGGGCGGTACTCAAACTTCCAAAGGGCTATAACTTTGTTACTTTAATTTTACCAGAAAAATGGTAAAGGAAAAAAACATTTCTATTGATCAGATCTACTCACTGATAAAATAAATGACTCAACTTCGAAGTCAGCCTGTATATACAGGGTGTCCGCAAAGTTGGGGTTTTCCTTTTCAGAAACAACTACCCCTGAAATAACAAAGGTAATGTGTAGTGAAACGAGGGCGACCAAGTAAAAAAAAATAAAGGAAAAAGTACTCACTCTCCAGTTGACGAGAAGGGCTAAGTACGTCTCTGCCCGAAATCATACCGCTCCAACAGAAAATGAAATCAGCTGATGCGCTACCGAGCAGACGCAGGCAAACAAGGAAGGCAAAATATTGCGTAAAAAATTCTAGGTATTGTATCCCGTCCAATCGATTTGGGAGAATAAATGGTCGCATACTGTTCACCATGCCAGCCCAAACATTCACCGAAAATGTTTGTTGAATATGTGCCCGACGGACAGCGTGCGGATTTTCTACTGACCAAACATGAGTGTTACGAAAGTTATTCACCCCATTACGCGTAAACGTAGATTCGTCTGTCACCAATATGCACTTCAAAAAGTCCGGATTATTGTCATGTTGATGCAACAACCACTCACAAAACCGCACTCTTGCTGGAAAATCGTCAGGTTGAAGGGCTTGTACACGTTGGACGTGGAACGGATACAGCCCCTCTTCACGCAGCGTTTGCCACACTTCAGTTTTTGATACTTGCACTTCTCTAGCCACGTCTCTAGTGCTTGTTGTTTTTTGAAACGCAATCGATTACCTCTACACGCGTGACCGTAACCGTCGGTTGAAGGTTGCATACTGACCTGACACACTGACCCCGACCCAGTTCTGTCGTCGGGTTGAGCTAGTGTCCTAGTACCATTCGGGGATGTCGCGGCTACAAGACGGTATTCAGATATTTTTGATGTTGCAGAGCCCTTTATCTCGGTTCCCTTAAGACATTGGTGTATATGGTACTAAGAAAAATTGATTATGTTTTCAAGATCTACACGTCGTGTAAGGAAAACCCCAACTTTGCGGACACCCTGTATATATAGGTGAAAAAATTAAAGCTTCCGCCTTTTGTTGGGTACTTCGACAAAATTTAAGTAAAGAGGACGCTTTATACTTTATTAATCTCTCTAGCTTTCAATGGTCTTTGCCATCATCATCAGGAGCTGCAATAATATTGAGAAGAATAGCGACAATTGTGCAAAATGAATTTTAAATTAACACGTATGTGAGGTTGTTGCTAAATGATATTCACGTTTAGGTTGAGGGAATCACCCAGTAATCTGGTGAAAGCTGGATACATGGTAAAAACTTCAAAATTAATACAAACTACACACAGCTGTATGTCAAGAACATATTAAAATAGATTAAAAATATTTAAAACAAAAGTTAAAAATTACATCGTGAACCACCTGATGATTGCACAAAATGGTGGGCATAGAATCATAAGTAAGATGAACCTTTGACAGATGGCAGAAGGTTAGTAGTGTCCGTGTAGATGAATGGAACGAAAATTCTTTTGTAAAATCTGTGCTATGTTGCCAAATCACTTCAGATGGTGTGATTTTCAAGATATGTTGGGTAAACACTTATCAACCGACCATTGTAGTTAAGTAAGCACACTCTGCATAATTTGGCGATTTTCCCTAAGACAAGTTCTTCCACTTAGCTAGTTGTTACGACAGTTATTACATACCACGTACTATAAACATATCACTCAAGGATTGGTAAACAAAATTCAAAGTAACATAATAAATGGATATAGGAGCGTGACATCTGAAACCTCGTGTAATATGGAGCTAGAAACTGAGTTATGTGCCATAAAAAACCTCCAAACTAATGTACAACTACCTGTATAATGCAGCTGTGTTCTCTTTTTAACTGCCAAATAGAAAATTGTAAAATATTTCTCTCCGAATGAGCAAAGTTTGTGCGAACTGTTATTCGAAATGTTAATGTTATAAAAAAAGAGGACAGGCTCTCTCTAAAAACTTAATGGAAATGTTTCAAAGCGCTCCCGGCGGTCCGTAACTTTTGCGGCATATTCCCCATCAGAGGATAATGCAGAGCAAATAATCTTCTCTATCGAGTCCAGTTTGTAATTAAAACTAGCAGGTACCAGTGACGTAGAAGTAGGGTAATTTGGTTGAATGTAATGCTAACCGGAGAGTTTGGGGCTACGACATACTGATTTAAAAATATGTTTGTGATCCTTTCTTAGTTTTCATCCGTATAAAATTCACCTGGTACAAGAACTTAATGAAGACGATTTTGACCGGCGATTACAATTTTGGGAAGATATGAGTTAACGAATTATAAACTTGGAACATTTTCCATTCAACACTTGCTTTTCCGACGAATGTTCCTTTTTCTTAAATGTTGTAGTAAATCGTCATATTGCTCCAATTCTAATCCCAGAATTTATTATGAGGTTCATGCGCAGCAGCCACAAAAATTAAATGTTAGGGCTGGTATTGTTGGCGATCATTTATACTAAGTGACATATAAATCCGAACACCCAGTTTAAATGGTTTTATTTTAATAAAAGTTGGTGAATGTATTAATCTTACTGTAAATAACAAGTGAAAAAATGTTCAGCCTTATCAGTTGGACATTCCGGTTTTTATACTGCTTTTTTTTAATTCACTAACGCTCTAAAAATGAATATTTCAGCCGCAGTAAAGAATCAACGTTGGCGGATTTTGGTTCTTGACATCCTTTACGATCGGTTACGATGCCTAGAGTACGGAGACCTGTACGATTTCGTCAACTTAGTGAGTTTGATAGGGGCCGTATAGTGGGACTTCGGGAAGCTGGACTTTCTTTTCGGGCAATTGCAGTTAGAGTGCAAAGAAGTGTAGACACTGTGGTTAGGTGTTGTCAGGCATGGCGGGGCACTGGACGCGGCCGTAGAACAACAGACCGTGAAGATCGCCGCCTAAGATTATTGGCCTTAAGGGACCGTTTCTCCACTACAAGGTCCATTGCAAGTCAATGGTTTGCAGAACACGGAAGACCTACTGGCATGCGAAGTGTTTACCAACGAATGAGAAGTTTTGGCTTGTTTTCATACCGGCCACACTGGGTCCTCCCTTTAACTCGAGAACACCGACGTAATCGCCTTGAGTGGTGCAGACAACGGTCACTCTGGGATCAGGAATGGAACAGTATTGTCTTTAGTGACGAGACTCGATTTTGTTTAGGCATGCACGATGGTCGTGCCAGGGTTAGAAGGCGACGTGGTGAAAGGAGGAATCCACAGTTTTTTGTTGAAAGACATGTTCATCACACTGTTGGAGTTATGGTTTGGGGTGCTATAGCTTATGGTTCCAGGTCACCTTTAATCTTCATCAGAGGTAACATGAACGCGCAGCGTTATATCCACGAGGTTCTAGAACCCCATCTTTTACCCTATCTTGATACCCTGGCA